CTGCTGGACTCTTTCCAATTTTTCCACATCCTTCTTGTAGTGTGGGGCCCAAAACTGGACACAGTACTCCAGATGAGGCCTCATCAATGTCAAATAGAGGGGAACGATCATGTCCCTCGATCTGCTGGCAATGCCCCTACATATACATCCCAAAATGCCATTGGCCTTCTTGGCAACAAGGGCACACTGTTGACTCATATCCAGCTTCTCGTCCACTGTAACCCCTAGGTCCTTTTCTGCAGAACTGCTGCCTAGCCATTCGGTCCCTAGTCTGTAGCGGTGCATGGGATTCTTCCGTCCTAAGTGCAGGACTCTGCACTTGTCCTTGTTGAACCTCATCAGATTTCTTTTGGCCCAATCCTCTAATCTGTCTAGGGCCCTCTGTATCCTATCCCTACCCTCCAGCGTATCTACCTCTCCTCCCAGTTTAGTGTCATCTGCAAACTTGCTGAGGGTGCAATCCACCCCATCCTCCAGATCATTTATGAAGGTATTGAACAAAACCGGCCCAAGGACCGACCCTTGGGGCACTCCACTTGATACTGGCTGCCAACTAAGACATGGAGCCATTGATCACTACCCATTGAGCCTGACAATCTAGCCAACTTTCTATCCACCTTATAGTCCATTCATCCAGCCCATACTTCTTTAACTTGCTGGCAAGAATACTGTGGGAGACCATGTCAAAAGCTTTGCTAAAGTCAAGGAACAACACATCCACCACTTTCCCCTCATCCACAGAGCCAGTTATCTTGTCATAGAAGGCAATTAGATTAGTCAGGCATGACTTGCCCTTGGTGAATCCATGCTGACTGTTCCTGATCACTTTCCTCTCCTCTAAGTGCTTCAGAATTGATTCCTTGAGGACCTTCTCCATGATTTTTCCAGGGACTGAGGTGAGGCTGACTGGCCTGTAGTTCCCAGAATCCTCCTTCTTCCCTTTTTTAAAGATGGGCACTACATTAGCCTTTTTCCAGTCATCCGAGACTTCCCCCGATCGCCATGAGTTTTCAAAGATAATGGCCAATGGCTCTGCAATCACATCCACCAACTCCTTTAGCACTCTCGGATGCAGCGCATCCGGCCCCTTGGACTTGTGCTCATCCAGCTTTTCTAAATAGTCCCGAACCACTTCTTTCTCCACAGAGGGCTGATCACCTCCTCCCCATACTGTGCTGCCCAGTGCGGTAGTCTGGGAGCTGACCTTGTTCGTGAAGACAGAGGCAAAAAAAGTATTGAGTACATAAGATTTTTCCACATCCTCTGTCACTAGGTTGCCTCCCTCATTCAGTAAGGGGCTCACACTTTCCTTGACTTTCTTCTTGTTGCTAACATACCTGAAGAAACCCTTCTTGTTACTCTTAACATCTCTTGCTAGCTGCAACTCCAGGTGTGATTTGGCCTTCCTGATTTCACTCCTGCATGCCCAAGCAATATTTTTATACTCTTCCCTGGTCATTTGTCCAATCTTCCACTTCTTGTAAGCTTCTTTTTTGTGTTTAAGATCAGCAAGGATTTCACTGTTAAGCCAAGCTGGTTGCCTGCCATATTTACTATTCTTTCAATTATTAGTACCAATATTATAAAATTCCAGTGAATTGTGCTAGATATGCCATGTAAGGTATCTATAAAGATGTTATGATTTGCCAAGTATGATAATCTTGTTTGCATCACCTTTGTTATATATATGTATGGTATATCTGTATTTCCAAACTTGTGCTGTGCATCTGGGTGACACCTCCGGACAGATTGGCATCAGCACTGCCTAGCCTGTTCGATGGCCCATCAAGGATCATCAACTATACAATTGATCCTGTGGCATTACTCCCCATATTCTTCATAGAAATATTGTTATGATCTGAGTATGGCATGACTAAGATATGTTTTATGCAAGATGTGTCATGTGAGGTATCATTGGAAAGGTTATGATTTACTGATATGATTATCCTATTTGTAAGCAGGTATCATTTCTGTACCTGAAGTTCGGAATATGGACTATGTATCAATTACAAAAGTGCTTGCACCTGGGGAACACCCACCAGACAATAGGCAATCAGCCTGGATGGGCCATTAGAACTCTGAAGATACTAATCTCCCACCTTCCTGAGAAGCTTCTTGGGTGCTCCTTTGACACTGCAGGGTCACGTGATCATGTCACCTAGTATAGGATACCATCTTGATCTGCTGGTATTTTTCCACTGGAAGGGGGTGAGCGTCAAACTAGGAAACAAAGGATTCCCGCCATATGCAAATCCTATTTAAGACTGGGGAGTGAGTTAATTTTGGGTCTTCTCCACTGCCTCTCCGCCCAAGAAGGAAGACTGATGAAAACACCTGAAGAAACAACTAACCTGAGGGTGGCAGGGGCTGAGCCCAGGCGAGAAAGGTCAGCCTGTGAAAGGAATCCCTGGAGAGTTAAGCTGCAAGTGGTGCAGTTTACCTTCAAGAAACTCTGCAACCTTCACAAAACAACACTTAGGGTGAGAATTTGCTACTGTTGACCAGTTAATTTAGTGTATTAAGCTTAGTTTGTGTGTTTGTTTTATTTGCTCAGTGATCTGCTTTGATCTGTTGCTATCCCTTATAATCACTTAAAATGTATCCTTTGTAGTTAATAAACTTGTTTTGTTTTCTAAAACCCAGCTTGTGCGAGTCATAACGGGATGGGGGTGGGGGGAGCTGTGCATATCTTCCTCCACATTGAGGGAGGGAGAAAATTTCATGAGCTTGTGCTGTACAGATCTCTGTACAGCGCAAGACAATATAATTTGGGGTTTGCACTCCAGAGGGTCTGTGCACTTGAGTGCAGGGCAATCCCCAAGCTGAGTCTTCCCACACAGAGCTGATTGCAGACTCTGTGTGATTCTACAGCTGGGTGTGTCCCTACCAGTGTGTGTGTAGGCAGCAGGACAGGGTGAGGGAACCTGGGCTGGCGGAACAGGAACCCCAGTACATCAGGTGGCAAAGACCCATTGAGAGAAGGCAAGGGATGCAGGGACATGCCTATGGACACAACTCTAAGGCTTTTCCATGCCATGTGCTGTGAAGCTTGTGTTTGGGAGGACAAGGGAAGTACAAGCCACATTGGCAAAGGATATAAAAAGGCAGCTGCATCATCTCCATTTTGTCTTCACTCCTGCTTCTTACCTCTGGAGGAACTTTTCTACAAACTGAAGCTCTAAACAAAGGAATGAATGACCCATCCCAGCTGTTGATGTGTTCCAGAGAGACTTTCAAGCCAGCAAACTCAACAATACTGCTAAGAACCTGATCTATGGTCTTTGTAGTCTCTGTATGTATCTAAGTGCTTTATCATTTACCAGCTGTTTTCTTGTTCTTTCTTTTTTAGACACAAAAAGATTGGCTGGCAGTGTGGTATTTTGGGTACGATCCAACCTAATATTGACAGCCTTTTGGGGTTCAGAAGAATACTTTGTATTCAAATAACTTCTCACTGTACTGGACCTAGGTGCTGATTGGGAACCAGAGAACTGGAATGCAATAAAGGGGGCTTTGTGATTTACATAAGAACATAAGAAGGGCCCTAGTGGGTCAGACCAAAGGTCCATCAAGCTCAGTATCCTGTCCTCTGACAGTGGCCAATGGCAGGTGCCTCAAAGGGAATGAACAGAACACGTTATCATCAAGTGATCCATGCCCTGTCACCCAATCCCAGCTTCTGGCAAACAGAGGCTACGGACACCATTCCTGCCCATCCTGGCTAATAGCCATTGATGGACCTATCTTCCATGAATCTATCCAGCTCCCTTTTGAACCCCATTATAGTATTGGCCTTCACAACACCCTCTGGCAAGGAGTTCCAGATGTTGACAGTGTGTTGAATGAAAAAATACTTTCTTGTGTTTGTTTTAAACTTGCTACCTCTTAATTTCATTTGGTTGCCCCTTGTTCTTGTATTATGAGAAGGAGTAAATAACACTTCCTAATTTACTTTCTCTATACCACTCATTTCTATACCTCTATCGTATCCCCCCTTAGTCGCCTCTTTTCCAAGCTGAAAAGTCCCAGTCTTGTTAATCTCTCCTCATATGGAAGCCGTTCTATACCCCTAATCATTTTTTGTTTTGCCCTTTTCTGAACCTTTTCCAATTCCAATATATCTTTTCAGAGATGGGGAGACCACATCTGCACACGCTATTCAAGGTGTGGGCGTACCATGGATTTATGTAGAGGCAATATGATATTTTCTGTCTTATTCACTATCCCTTTCTTGATGATTCCCAACATTCTGTTCACTTTTTTGACTGCCGCTGCACATTGAGTGCGTGTTTTCAGAGAACTATCCACAATGACTCCAAGATCTCTTTCTTGTGTGGTAACAACTAATTTAGACCCCATCATTGTATATGTATAGTTGGGATTATGTTTTCCAATGTGCATTACTTTGCATTTATCAACATTAAATTTTATCTGCTATTTTGTTGCCCAGTCTCCCAGTTTTGTGAGATCCTTTTGTAGCTCTTCGCAGTCTGGCTGGGACTTAACTAACTTTCTTTTTCTTTTCTTCTTTTCTTTTTTTTTTTTTTTGCTTCTTGATAACCAGCGTGGGGGGGGGATCAGAAACACAATTTGTGACATGTTGGTGAGTTTAACTTCAGTGTTAACCACCAGTTTTGGGAGAATCTGCTCTCCTTTTTTGCAGCCTGCCTTGACCTTGGCATTTTCAGTGACGGCTGCCCCAGAGTTACACACCTAATAATTAGAAAAACGTGGCCCCAAATCACTTGTGGAAATGGGGCTTTGGCAGCTTAATCACTCTGGTGCTTTTGAAAATGTTACCCTGACTAAACAGTGAAACTGACAGCATGCAAAACGCCAATTAAATAGACTGGCGAATAGAGTGTAATCTGTTGTTCTTCTCTAATCTCGTCCAGTTCTGTTTTATTCGGCGATGTTTGCAACAAGAGCCAGTGAAACATTTTCTGGGCGGAAGTGGGCTCGTCAAGATGACGCCTCATTAACTCCCTTTCCCCGCCTCCATTTCTTAAACTTTGCTCTGCTGTTTGCAGTTTGGAATCACTGGCTCCTCCCCATCTGTATGTGTGGGGAAGGGCATCGCCTTTCGGGCCTGGGGCAAGGAGGCAAGAGATCCCAGCCAGAAACAAGGTAAATATTCCAAATATGAAGCAGATGGCAGGCCTGTCACTATGCAACCCAACTGACAGGCAAAGCTGCTAAGGACATTGCTAAGAGGGCTGGGGAGAGGTGAGGTCAGGGAGCCAGTCCTGTCCTTGCATGCAGGGGGTGTGTCTGACTCTAAAGGGATTTGCTAAGGACACAGCCTTGTTCTTTCAGGGAGATAATATTTTCAGTTTAGGCTGAGATTATCTGTTTATACCTGTTAACCCTTGTATGAGTCTGATGCACTTCCCTAAGTGCATGTAGGTCGTGCATATGTGCCAGGATCACACTCCTTGTCAGTAAATAATAAATGAGCGAGTGAACTCTGTTCTCTTTCTTCAGCCCTCGGGCTGGTCAAGCCTTTGACAACTGGTCAAAGGTTCTGATCTCAAGAATTCCCCATTTCTGAAGGCCACGCTGACCGCAGCCTCCCTCGATCGCTGGGTGACGTTGGTTGAACCTGTGCGGTTAGCAATGGCCATCTTTTAGCTTTCCCACGCGTGTGCTCTCTGAAGCAAACTGCCCGGGGACTATGAAGAGCAGCTCCTGAATGGATCAGGAGAAAGGATCCAACTTGTATTCAGACAGGCCCAGATCCTCACAGATATTTAGGCATTTACCTACCTTTGAGGATTAGGGCCCAAGAATCTTCCGAAGGAAAGGGCAGGGCAGACGGGTGGGGAGTTGGTGCCCTGTTCTGCAGCAGTGCTGTCACCCTCAGTAATGTGTTTGATAACTCTGATGATGAGCTAGATAGACAGACAGATTTCTGATTCTCAAGGTGCATCAAAGGGGCTTGCTTGGGGTCCGACTCTCAGTTATAATAATGCCCCCGGTGCCCTCTTGGCAGCATAAAGGGGCAAGGAATGAAACACCCCCTTGTGCAGAGGTTCTCCTTCGTTGATGTGGAACTAGCATGAGAGCTCTGCAATGACCCTACTTCCAGCTCCTGCCATAGAGGGCACGTTAGGGACAGAAAGGGAGCATGGCTGATGTGCACTGTACTACTCTCTGCTTCCATAGGAGGCAAATCCTAAATCAGAGCAACTCTGAGGCTGCTCTAACTTACACCAGGGACTGGAAAGTGTCCTGCGGAGCCCCCCAAAATATGTATGGTTAAAGGAACCACAAAGATGGTTACAATCTCTTTTGCCCCACCTCATTCCTGCCCCCAGAGTAGGCACGGACAAACTGAGCCTCAGGTCCCCAGCGTCTAACAGAGAGGCAGCTGGCTAGCTATGAACCGGATAAAAGTGAGGTGATAGGGAAAGTGCCAGGAGAAATTGCAGAGATTGTAGCAGTGCCCATGGTTGACAGGGTGCATCTATTGCTTGTCTCCGAGGTTTGGCACTTTGTTCCATCCCCGGCTGCTGCTGGATTCCCAGCTTGTGGCTGCTATATATGTTTCCTATTATCTGCACTTAGCACAGAGGTTGAGTCCTTTCCTTTGGTAGTGGGAGCTTGCCACACTTAGTCTTCCCTAGGTTTTGTTACTTCCTGTCTCCATCATTGCCAGGGGTTCTTTGTGAGGCTGCACATCTGAACCACTTGGAAATTGCTGTTAGCACAGAACACAGTAGCTGTGGTTAGCAGGGCCTGGTGGAGGGAGCCCACGACACCCACCCTCTGAGATCTGCTGGGTGATTTCTGGGGCAAGCCTAAAGTGCCGGGTCTGATCCTTAAGGCCCTAAATGTCCCAGCTGTTGGAGAGATCTCCCTGGCAGGTAGTGAGGCAGTTAGTATCAGTGGAAGTAGAACTGGCACCCGGGCACGCTCTGTGCAGGATGCACGGATCTGGAATTCACTTCCTTCCTGCATTTGCTAAGCCTGATGCTGATGATGCTCAGGAGGCACCTGATTGTCCCCCAGCAGGGAAAGGCAAATCACTGGGATGGGTGGGCTGATGAGGAGACAGAGGCAGGAAGTGCTGTCTGTCTGTCATAGAAGATTAGGGTTGGAAGAGACCTCAGGAGGTCATCTAGTCCAATCCTGGGCTGAAAGCAGGGCCAACCCCAACTAAATCATCCGAGCCAGGGCTTTGTGAAGCCTGACCTTAAAAACCTCTAAGGAAGGAGATTCCACCACCTCCCTAGGTAACGCATTCCAGTGTTTTACCACCCTCCTCGTGAAATAGTGTTTCCTAATATCTAACCTAGACCTCCCCCACTGCAACTTGAGACCATTACTCCTTGTTTTGTCATCTGCCACCACTGAGAATAGCCAAGTTCCATCTTCTTTGGAACCCCCCTTCAGGTAGTTGAAGGCTGCTATCAAATCCCCCCTCACTCTTCTCTTCTGTAGACTAAATAATTCCAGTTCCCTCAGCCTCTCCTTGTAAATCATGTGCCCTAGTCCCCTAATAATTTTTGTTGCCCCCTGCTGGACTCTCTCCAATTTGTTCACATCCTTTCTGTAGTGGGGGGCCCAAAACTGGACACAATACTACAGGTGTGGCCTCACCAATGTCGAATAGAGGGGAATGATCATGTCCCTTGATCTGCTGGTAATGCTCCTACAAATGCAGCCCAATATGCTGTTAGCCTTCTTGGCAACAAGGGCACACTGTTGACATATTCAGCTTCTCATCCACTGTAATCCCCAAGTCCTTTTCCGCAGAACTGCTGCTTAGCCAGTCGGTCCCCAGCCTGTAGCGGCGCATGGGATTCTTCTGTCCTAAATGCAGGACTCTGCATTTGTCCTTGTTGAACCTCATCAGATTTCTTTTGGCCCAAGCCTCCAATTTGTCTAGGTCCCTCTGTATCCTATCCCTACCCTCCAGCATATCTACCACTCCTCCCAGTTTAGTGTCATCCGCGAACTTGCTGAGGGTGCAGTCCACGCCATCCTTCAGATCATTAATGAAGATATTGAACAAAACCGACCCCTGGGGCACTTGTCTTGATACCAGCTGCTATGCTAGGAAAGTAGCTGGAGAGTCTCTTTTTTGTTTGTGAGATACCCAGAGTTTAAACTGGCGTGGCTGATACATTGATATTGATTTGGAAGTCTCCATTTCTTGTTTTTTTAACTTTCGGTCCCATTTCTTGTTCATGTGCTAGACAGAGCTTTTGATCTCTGGGTAAAGGGTTCAGAGCCACATTCCAGCCACCAGTGACATGAGTTGGCTGGGTCTCTGAGCAGCATAGGAATCCCGCTCCTGAAGGTCTACAAAACAAGCAGTGGTGTTTTTCTACCTCCCACCAAACCCACAGCCATGGATGAGCCCCTCCCTGCTGGAAATTAGGGGATGGGTCATCATCTATGGGAAGAACTTGCTTTAGGATGTGGTGGATTCTTTGAGCCTTGAAACCTTTAAATCAGACTGGATATCGTTCTGAGAGAGATGCTGTAACTCATACAGAAGTTATGGGCTTGATGCAAAAATTACTGCATGAGGTTCTCTGGCCTGTGCTGTGCAGGAGGTCAGATTAGATGAGCATAGTTGTGCCTTTCTGGCCTTAACAGCTATGAATTTATTAATCTGAGATTTTTCTTTTTGTTGAAAACTGAATTTGTTGAAAACCAGTTTGAAGGGAAATTTTTCAGCCAGCACTTCTCATAAATGCAACCACTGTTTCGTTTATAATTAGTATCATTTTCCCCCAGTAACTCCGAAAAGTACATAGCATGGCCAGTTTGAACAGGGAAAGGTAATATCACAGTACAGACCCATTGGTCATCTGGGCATATAACAACATTAAATAAAAAGGAAAATTTAAGAAAAATACAAGGAAAGAACACAGGCCTGATCCTCTGCTGGTGTAAATCAGCGTAGTACAATGGAAGTCAATGGATCTCTCCTGATTTATATTAGCCAAATGTCTGGTCCCATGTGAGTAAAGAAAGCCAAGAAATAACGTATTGACTATTGATGTCAGCAGAGTAACTGCAATAAATAATTATTAAATGTTCTTTTCCCCCCCAAAATAGAAGAATTTTATTTTACATTTTACATTGTAATAAGCAGACTAGTGTCCAGGTGTCACCACTGTCTTCTACTGCATGATATCAAAATTGCTAACGGTGTGTCATATGTCCGATACTGCATTTGCTAAAGGAGAGTCTCCTTGAATTTTAGCTCAAGTGGGAGGAGGTTCTGGTTCTGGAGCAAGAATACCTGGGTTCTGTTAATTACTAGGCAAATGGCAGAGCATTTCTCAAGCAGTTTGTTCGTGACAGTTTCCACAATGTATTGATTTCATCTGGTTTTGTGGCGCTGTCATTTTTTTTTTTTTAAACAAGAATTTAGCTGCAAAAGCCAGGCAAATCACTGAAGGCCATGCTGTTACAAAGATAGCAATTTGACTCAAATACAGAGGCCCTTTTTCACTCAAAATAGCTCACTCTTGGCATTTTTGCACAAAAAATAGGGGGGGGGAGGGTTTCAATTTGGCGATGAACTGCACAAATGTTCCAATTTCAAGGCATTCAGATGTCCTTGAAAATAGCTTGCAAGGCATATCCTTCCCTTGGAGCCAGATCCTGCAACTTTAATCCATGCAAAGAGACCCTCTCCTAGGTCTTGACTTTTATTTTTCCCCGGGGGTGCTCCACCCCCACTCCACCCCGAGATCCTTCCCCCACAGCACCGCTTCCTCCAAGGCCCTGCCCTTGCTCCACCTCTTCCCGCCCCCACTCTGCCCCCACCCCTCAGTCCCCTGCCCACTGCCTCCACCCTCCTGCAAGCACCTCCTGCCAGCTGCCGCAGAGCTGATTGGTGGCCCTGCCGAACAGATGGGGCTGGTGGGTGCTGAGCACACACTATTTTTTTTTCCATGGGTGCTTGTGCCCTGGAGCCCCCACAGAGTCAGCGCCTATGGACACTCTGAAGAATGGAACAACACCTCTGTGCAAGGACAAAGCCCTTGTTTTGTGGTACTAGTCATTTTGCACCTACCTCCTTGGTTCCCTGGGCAGAGAGAGCAGATTTTGGCCTCTTAGATTTTCCCTGCACCCTTATCCATGTGTGGCATGAAAGGCTGGATTCCTTCACTTACTCCAGTGCAAATCCAGGTTCGTTCCAATAACTGCCAATCAGTGGAAATGCTCCAGGTTTAACTGAGAGTAGGATTTGGCCTCTGGTATCTTTTGCCTTATCTCATTGCCTTGGGACGTGCCTTGTCTGTACTTTAGGTGTTTCCTTTGACACCAATGGCAGCCCAGTTGGACAGAGATGGGAGAGGGTTCCACATCCTCACTCCTGTGCTGGAAAGCACGGCCCTGTCAAAGGCTGCAGGCACTAGGGTCTACATGAAGCTGGAGAATGTCCAACCTACCGGCTCATTCAAGATTCGGGGGATTAGCTACTTCTGTCAGGAGGTGAGCCCAGCATTGGGACGTTAGCCCTTGCTCTTCTGATGTTTTGAGGCACTTGGTGACTGACACAGTGTGCCGTAAGTATGCCCAGAAGAAGGATGTGTGCATTTTTGTGTGTGGGTAGGGTGGTGCAAAATGCATTGGTGTGGGCGTAGTGGTGCAGAATGCATTGGTGTGGGTATGTGTTGCAAAACGCACTTGTATGTGCTTGCAAAATGGTGTGGAAACATTAGTGTATATGTGTGTGCAGTATGGGTGCAATATACATTGGTGTGTGTACATGGTGGTGCAAATAACGTGTGTATATGGCACAGAATGCATTCGAGTGTGGGTGTCGTCCAAATTGTACAACTGCCGTTGCAGTATTATAGCTGTAATTTTATCGCTAATTTTACCTCCAAACGGTCTTGGCTGATGTACAGGACCAGCCCTGAGAAGTGAGTTAAGCGAATTCCAAGCTCTACTTTCTCTTTGGTTTCAGGCTGCCAAGAAGGGCTGCAAACATTTTGTTTGTTCAACAGGTAAATTTACTTCAAACTATTCTTCTCCCTTGGGCTACTTAGCAAGAAAGGGCCATTCTGCTCCATCACCTGATCCTTGGAAAGGTGACCCAGGCGTTCCCTGGGATGCCGATGCAGATGTCTTTAAAGCATAGGGGAAGTGGGACATCAGCTCTCGCCCTGCCAAGGCCCAGGTGAGGGCATCTGGCCTTTCAAATCCAGGCCAGAGAAGACACATTTGGGACTCAGCCAGGAACCCAAGGAGAGGGAAGCGGTGTGAAATGATGCAGTGGATCATTTCTGGGCATAATGTTTGTGTCTTGAGGCAGTCTCATGACTCAATGTTTCTAGCCTCAGCAGTAAACAGAGAGCAGCAGGTCTGGAGGTACAGAGGGAAGGAGAAACAGCTAGTCATCTGAAGGGTGGAAAGCCAGACATTCACCCTCTCAGCTGCACTAGCCACCATGCTCCCTGCACTCGAGTTCAGTCTGACTGCAGGATATATTGGGGGTGCATGGGGGCTTGGCCTGTATCGGTGGGTCCATATTACACTGCACCTGGCATGATCTTGCTCATTCCAAAGTCCAGTGAATAGGGAGTCTGTAAATCCAAGTGTGGAAATAGCCCCAAAGAGGCTGCGGGTTATTCTATGCTGTGTGTTGGCGAACAGGTCTTACAATCCTACTCTCCCTTTGACTTCCGGCCTGGTCTCTGCCAGGGAGAGCAGGAACCTGCCACTGAAGGGGGCTGGGGCTTAGAGCCCACTCCAGGTTGACACATCAAGGCTCTTTTATCTGAATTGCTTGGTCCAGATTCTGTCGCAGGTTGGAGCCATTGAGGCTGGTGCCGCTCACTGCACATTTCTGTATCCGCCTGGGTGCCTGTCTCCACACGCCCGCTTCCAGCTCTGCCCCGGAAGCCAGTAGGGGCAGTGATTGATGCTGTGATCTTTGTGACAAGGGAGCAGTGTGGGCTAGCATGCTGTGATTTAGGGTCCCCTCCATGGTGGGGGGGCTTCACCCAAGCCCCAGATCCAAATAGCCCTCATCTGCAGTGTGTTCCGAATCCATGCGAGGACCCAGATGTGGAGACCTGGGTCTGTTTCTGATTCATTGGGTGGGGCCCGAATCCAGAGCCTGCTGGATCATTGTTCCATTGCCACGCTGGGGAGTCCCCAAGCCCCCACTGTTGTTCACCGATCCCTGTCTCCTTGTCCCTACAGGGGGGAATGCTGGCTTCGCCACGGCCTATGCTGCCAAGAAGCTGGGGATCCCTGCTACCATCATAGTGCCAACGAACACCCCTCAGGCCACAGTGCAGAAGTTGGAAGAGCAGGGGACGGAGGTGGAGGTCTTTGGGAAGGTACCCGTTGTCACGGATCCACAGGGTCTGTTCTGTGCCCCAGCCTGTAACCAGTCCTGTGGGAGTGACCCCTTTAGCAGGCCAGACCCCAAGGACCTCAGGGCAGGTCCATGGAGTCCATGACACCGAAACTGGGCCTTCGGGCACCAGCAATCTCTGTCTCTCTCCGTGGCTCCCTGCAGCTGAGCCAGACTCTGGCTGGAGGCTTGTATCGGGCCCCTTTGGGGCGCCATGCTCCCAGGGAGTATTTGCAGCAACAGCAGGCAGCCTTTCCCAGACACGGTAACAATTTCTTAGTCACCTGGCCTCCAGAATCCGAAAGTCCTTCGGTTAGCATGGAGAGGCAAAGCTTCAGGAACCATCTTGGCTCTCTCTGTCCCTTTGTCTGTCAGTGCCAGGTGAGAACTCCTGTGTGTCTGTGGGCTCAGCTCTTACCCCAGATACCTTTCAGTCCATTGTCCTCAGCCTGCAGGTCCAGGCTGAGTTCCTGTGTTCTGCCTGCTGGACCTTGCCGTCGCTACCTGGCAGTGGTTCAGACATTGGGGTTCCCGTTGGCTTCCCAGATCCTCCATTGATTTGCATTGATTCTAGCTAGTTCTCAGCGACCAGGTCGCATCACCCCAGAGAGCCACGTGACGCTAACCCCTTGTGTCTCCCGGTCTGCCCACCAGCAGCGTTTGAACCCCTCTGCGCTCACTGGCTCGCAATCCCAAAGTGACAGGGAGAGTCATATGGATACGTAGCGGGGCGCTCACCCGCTTCTGCCCTGAAGCCCTGGGAGAGGGCTGAGGCTGCGAGAGGGCTGCTGCTAGGGAAAGCAACCAGCCTCGGCTGATTGGGGAAACAGCCACAGCTGCAGCCACACCCTAATCAGGGCCCAGCTGGCCTTTATAAGATGGCAGTGGGCCAGGAGGATACAGTCTCTCTCTAGATGTTGAGAGGGAGGGGCCTGACTGCTGGGAGCTGAACAGGATACCTAAAGTGGAGCAGGGCTGGGGAAAGGCCAGAGGAGCTGGGGAGCTCTGGCCTGAGAAACCCCCAGGCTGCAGGCCTTGATGAAGCCCTAGGAAAAGAGTACTGGGGTTGCACAGGGCAGCTCAAGGGTAGGCAGAAGAAGCAGGTCCAGACCCTCCTTGCTGATGATGAGTGGCAATTATACTGCAGTCCACTGCAGGGAGCGGAGGCTAGATGGTGACTGGCAGTAGCCAAAGACTGAGGTGAGGTGGGGATAGAGGGTGTGGGTTCCCTGGGGGGAGACCCAGATCTCTGGGGGTACTGCCAGGGGGCAGCACCCTGGTGTGAAAGGGGCACTGGGGCCTGGGAGGGACTTGGGGGGGCCCAGCAGCAAGTGGGCCACTGGCCTGCAGAGGGTGCTCTGGAGGCTGGAAACACTAATTACCTGGATGACCAGCAGGAGGTGCTGCAGGGGTGAGTCCTGCCCCACTACAGGATAGTTCATAAAAACAGTACAGAAAATTCCCACATTGATCACTTCTGTGCCCTGGGAATGGGGGAAAACAGCACCTGGCAAACCCCTGTAGAATGGCAGTGGGTAGTAAAACTGCTAGAGGCCAGCAATGTGCACCAGTGGGGTTCTGGGATAGCTCCGTCTGGATCAGAACCTCCCCAAGGGTTCATCTCCAGCTCCTTGTTTTTACTCTGCCTGGTGTTTCACTTGCCGTACATTACCAATGGGTGGCTAGTAAAAATGTGTATCCTGGTGAATTCCACTGATCTGAATGGCCTGGGGGAGATCTGACACCCTTGGATAACAGGGGACATTCAGACCAACAGAAGTGCATGCCTGGCAACTCTCTCCTGCGGTTGCTTCCCCTCTCCCAGCTTCCCCTTCCAACCTGCAGCTCTGCTGCCTTAATGCTCATTACTCACCACGGCTGGGTTGTGGGGAGGACACAGGCTGTTAGAAGAATTGAAATTCAGATAAACAGGCGTTACCTGTGTGCTGAGGTGACAAAAGGAGCTGAATTCCAGCCTCATTCACCCTCTGGCACACAACCCAGTGCAGGTCATTGGGGAACAGGGCTGAATGCAAGATTTGGCCAGGTGTGTCATTTCTTGTCCCTGCAAGGTCCAATGCACACAAACATGCTCACAGAGCTGGAGGTCTCATTCTCCTCGCACACACTAAAAATCACTGGGCCTGATTCTCTTCTTCCCCCAGTTTTCCATCAGTGTAACTCCATTGCACTGGATGGGCTCCTGTCTCACCCTGACAGGAGAGGGTAACCAGGACCTGGTGCGTAGCCTCCCCTGACCAGCCAGGCCCCATTGGGCTTGGCACTGCACATACATATAAAGGCAAGATGGTCTGTCCCACAGAGCATGCAGTCTAAGTGGTGGGCAGCCCATTCCTAGCCAGCCAGGGTAGCGAGGGCTGGCTGAAGTTGGCAGTGGCAGGCAGGTCACATATCCTTCCCTGCATCATTTTGTCGGTAGGTCTGGGATGATGCCTACGTAAAAGCCCTGGCGTTAGCGGAGACTGAAGGCTGGGTCAATGTCCATCCCTTCGACCATCCTTTGATCTGGTGAGAGATTGGAGCTTTGGCCCTTATACCGTTTTGTCTCTTCAGGCCTGGGGCCTCACCACACCCGCCCCTGCTCCCCGAGGCCCATGCCTGGAGCCTTGCCAGGATCCCCCCCCCCAGGGGCCCGCACCTGGGGCCTTGCCACCCCTCCACCCCCAATTTCTGTGTCTCCCTCTTTCTTCCTTTTACAAAGCCAATGCCCTGCTCATAGCTGGGGCTGCTGTTTGTGTAATCAGGCTGCAGAGGGTTTGCCCTGTGCTGCTTTGGGGGATATGTGTCTCCCCTCTCCCACTGCACGGTTTCTCAGTCAGCTTCCAGGGGGTTATTGCCGATCGGCCCCCGTTTGACTGACCTCAGGCTCCGGCAGGATCCATGTGGTGAGATGAGCAAGGAGCCAGGCAGGGTGCAGAAGAGATGGCACTGGGGGGGGGAGAAAACTGCACAAGGTTGCTGGGTTCTCCAGGTTCCAGCTGCTCCCGGTGGACTCTGTGCAGTGGGAGTGTGGGTGGGTCAAGCTCTTTTGTCCTCCCTTTGGACTGAGCTGGCAAGCGTATGGTCGCAGCCCAGCTCCAGAGCACGGAGCTGCTCATCAGACCAGATCTCTGCTCTCTGGGGCCGCTGTTGGGCCAGGCAGGGCTGGATTAACCTTTTATGGGCCCAATGCCCAAGATATTTTTGTGCCCCTATAGAGGCAATGGAGCCTGGCGTCGGGGGGTTGATCCCTGGAGCGAGGGGCTGGCCAGGGGCAACGGCATAGCACGGGTGGCCCCTCTCCGCCCAGCCCAGTGTGAGGGCACTATTTACAAACCAGCAGTTGCCAGACACACAACGGTCCGCCCGGCCCTGTGCTGTCAGCATACCCCATGCCATGCCACACATCCCCCAACACCAGAACCCCCCACCCCGATGCCCTGTGGCCAGAGGTCCCCGGACCTGGTGTGCCCAGCACCCCCACCAGATCCTGCCACAAATGCACAGTGCCCTGCACAACACCACCCCTGCCCGCAGCCCCCACAGAACCCTCACTCCCTAGTGCCCCAACACACACAGACTTTCCCCACCCCCTCACAGCCCAGCACCCCAACACAGAACCCCCACTCCCTAGTGCCCCAACACACAGATCTTTCCCACTCCCTCACAGCCCAGCACCCCTCTCCCCAGGCCCTCCAGAGACCCACTCCCCCAAGGCCTGCTGCCCGGTTACACTCTGGGAGGCAACTGTATCTGCTGGGCTGAGCTGGCGGTTGAGCTGGTTCCAGGGTGGGGAATCGCCCCGGCCCCTCGGGAGTGATGCGGTCAGCCAGGCCAGCGCCTGCCCCGGCCGGGCTCCGTACAAGGACCCACTTGCCTTAAGGGGCCCAGGCAACCCCCCCACCCCACCCCACTGTTCCCCTCCCCAAACTGACCGAGGCTGGCCAGGCTTCTGCACCAGTCCCAGGTGGCTCAGCTCCGGGGAGACAGGTGGGGCCCCACAGGTGGTGGGAAGCAGAGACTGCCTGGAGCCGGAGGTGCCCTGGGGTCCAGTCAGGGGGCAGAGAGAAGCCGGAGGGGAGGCCAGGAGATGGAGAGGAGCCCTCGGCCGACTGGCAGGCAGACAGAGAAGAGCAAGTGGTGGGTGGTGGAGGGAGCCAGCGGGCAGGTGGGGTCTCAGAGGACAGTGCAAGCAGAGCAGGACAGGGCCCCTTCTGAGCATGGGCCCGGTTCCATGGTGCCACTTGTGCCATTGTAAACCTGGCACTGGGGCCAGGAGGCTAGTCTTTGAATGCCACCAGCTGGGGTTTCCACGGGGAATTTGCTGGGCCTGGCCTGCCTGCCTGGTGTCCAGCTGCCGGTGCCGGTCGTTCCAGTGTCTCTCTGCGCCTGAGCAGTGGGAGAACATGACCTGGCCGTCTGTGCAGCGGGTGTTCCACGCATGGCTGGCACGGCAGAGTGGAGGCGGGCAGCGCTGTAGTGATGTCAGACTTGATAGGCAGGGTGTGGCTAAGCCCGGAAATCCTGCAACTGCTCTGATGGGGAGCCTCAGGAGAAGAGACATTTGGGGAGCCCCTCATCCCCTCCACCCCCAGGTTGTGCCTGTGCATCTATCCATCCCTCCTCTCATGGTCCCAAGCCGCCTCCTCACTTCTCTGCTACCTCCAAGATTCTTGCCACCGCATGGCCCACCTGGCAGCCTGTGTCCTGACCAGCCTCCCCCTGGAACTGCAGCTAGGTCGGGCTGGGACTAAAGCTGCCCAGCCATGTGCCCATTGTCAGACCCTGGCACGGCAGGGATGCATCATACTGAAGTGCCCGTTGATTAGTTTCTCACAGCCGGTTTGCTGTCCCCACTCTCATTCCCATAGGCAAGGCCATGCCAGCATGGTTAGGGAGCTGAAGGATTTGCTCGGCCACAAGCCAGGAGCCATCATCCTGGCGGTGGGCGGTGGAGGGCTGCTGGCTGGAGTGGTGGCCGGCCTGCAGGACGTGGGCTGGCAGGATGTACCCATCATTGCTGTGGAAACCAAAGGAGCTGATAGCTTCAATGCAGCGCTCAGGGCTGGGAGATTGGTCACCCTGCCGGAGATAACCAGGTGAGGGTGAGTGTGGCAGAGACATGGGGGAATTGATTGCAAAGGGGGCTCTGCAGGGGGTGGCGGCAGGGGAGGGGGGGTTTTCAGGGGGTGCGGGTAAGGGAGGGGCTCAGGGGGTGTGTGGGCGGGGGGGATCTGTAAGGGGTGCGGGTAGGGGAGGGGCTCAGAGGGGGTGCGGGCAGGGGAGTGGGGATCTGAGGATATTATTATTATTATTTAATTGCCTTGCAACGGCATGTCGAGGCCTTGGCCAGGTGGAGCCCCGTTGCGCTAGGTGCTGTACAAACTCATTACAATGACAGGGAAGGGAAATGGCAGGCGCATGCGACGTACAAGTGGGTGGGTGGGGAAGGGAGGAAGTGGGACCAATAATAGTCGAGCTAGTGCTTTAGAAGAGGCGCGGCCCTAACCCAATGTGATGGAGGAGGGGCTGTCACCCCGTTCCGCCCCTCCCCGCCCACACCTCTTGGCCCATGCCCCTCACTCACTCTCCTGTGGGGAGTTTCCAGCTGGTATCAGCTGCTGGACTGACCACTCTGGAGGCTGGAATCCTCTGCTTGGTTTTCAAATAGGAAATTCAAGGCCAGGCTTCCCTTCCCCACCTCCGACTGATGCAGCACACCCTTGCTTTGGAGGAACCCGCTCTAGGGGTGCGAACTTTTGCTGAATCACAGGCCTGGTTTTGTTGGGAACCTGCCTGGTTCCCTGCCAGCTTGCCTGGCTGGGTGCTGCGGTGCCCTGCCACGCAGGCTGCCCTGGGGCTGGAGAGATCCTGGGATTCCAGGATCTGCAGCTCTGGGGCAGCCCTGCCATGCTAGGCTACCCTAGTCCCACCCTCCCTCTGTGAATGATCTTCCCACCCTGAACTCCCTTGATTTATGAATGCCAGCAGCCGGCCAGGGACCTGTGCCCCCTGTCTGGCAGTTCAAGCCGGAAAAAGCTAGAAATCAGGACGGATCCTATCTCTGTCCAGGGCCCAACTTAAGAAGTGAGGGCGGTCCTGCTTTCAGACAGCAGTGACCTCCTCATTCTCTGGGCCTGGCGTGGCCTCTCAGGTACTGAGCTGGCCAGAAACCCGCTAAGATGATTTGGAAGCAGGGTGTTTTCCCAGGGATCTGGGGAGCTAATACCGTGTCCTCAGCTGAAATGAGCAAAGGAGATACTGAAACACAGGAACCCTCCGTAGCTTCGCTGGAGGCTGTTTCCTGAACTCCTGTAAGACTTTCTCTGCCATGAATTTTGTCCATGAGGATCTGATCGAGCTGACTAGTCAGACAGTCTTCCCTCTTAGGGCTGGGGTTTCCAGAGCAGGGTAAGCCTGTTAGGAGAGGAAGGATGGGCCAGTGGTTTGGGTGTAGCCTCAGGCTGGGGAGACAGAGGGTCTGTTCCCTCCTTTGCTGCAGACTTTGTGTGACCACGAGCAAGTCTCTTATCCTCTGTGTGCCTCAGTTCCCCACCTGGACAATGGGGAGAAGTTTCAGAATAGCAGCCATGTTAGTCTGTATTCGCAAAAAGAAAAAGAGTACTTGTGGCACCTTAGAGACTAACCAATTTATTTGAGCATAAGCTTTCGTGAGCTACAGCTCACTTCATCGGATGCATACTGTGGAAAGTACAGAAGATCTTTTTATACACACAAACCATGAAAAAAGTGTTTACCACTACAAAAGGTTTTCTCTCCCCCCCCCCCCCCACAAACCCACTCTCCTGTTGGTAATAGCTTATCTAAAGTGATCACTCTCCTTACAATGTGTATGATAATCAAGGTGGGCCATTTCCAGCACAAATCCAGGGTTTAACAAGAACGTCTGGGGGGAGGAAAAAAACAAGGGGAAATAGGTTACCTTGCATAATGACTTAGCCACTCCCAGTTTCTATTCAAGCCTAAGTTAATTGTACCCAATTTGCAAATGAATTCCAATTCAACAGTCTGGAGTCTGGTTTTGAAGTTTTTCTGTTGTAATATTGCAACTTTCATGTCTGTAATCGCGTGGCCAGAGAGATTGAAGTGTTCTCCATCTGGTTTATGAATGTTATAATTCTTGACATCTGATTTGTGTCCATTTATTCTTTTACGTAGAGACTGTCCAGTTTGACCAATGTACATGGCAGAGGGGCATTGCTGGCACATGATGACATATATCACATTGGTGGATGTGCAGGTGAACGAGCCTCTGATAGTGTGGCTGATGTGATTAGGCCCTGTGATGGTGTCCGCTGAATAGAAATGTGGGCACAGTTGGCAACGGGCTTTGTTGCAAGGATAGGTTCCTGGGTTAGTGGTTCTGTTTTGTGGTATGTGGTTGCTGGTGAGTATTTGCTGCAGGTTGGGGGGCTGTCTGTAGGCAAGGACTGGCCTGTCTCCCTAGATTTGTGAGAGTGTTGGGTCATCCTTCAGGATAGGTTGTAGATCCTTAATAATGCGTTGGAGAGGTTTTAGTGGGGGGCTGAAGGTGACAGCTAGTGGCGTTCCGTTATTTTCTTTGTTGGGCCTGTCCTGTAGTAGGTGACTTCTGGGAACTCTTCTGGCTCTATCAATCTGTTTCTTCACTTCCGCAGGTGGGTATTGTAGTTGTAAGAATGCTTGATAGAGATCTTGTAGGTGTCTGCCTCTGTCTGAGGGGTTGGAGCAAATGCGGTTGTATCGCAGAGCTTGGCTGTAGACGATAGATCGTGTGGTGTGGTCAGGGTGAAAGCTGGAGGCATGTAGGTAGGAATAGCGGTCAGTAGGTTTCCGGTATAGGGTGGTGGTTATGTGGCCATCGTTTATTAGCACTGTAGTGTCCAGGAAGTGGATCTCTTGTGTGGACTGGACCAGGATGAGGTTGATGGTGGGATGGAAATTGTTGAAATCATGGTGGAATTCCTCAAGGGCTTCTTTTCCATGGGTCCAGATGATGATGATGATGTCATGAATATAGCGCAAGTAGAGTAGGGGCGTTAGGGGACGAGAGCTGAGGAAGCGTTGTTCTAAGTCAGCCATAAAAATGTTGGCATACTGTGGGGCCATGCGGGTACCCATAGCAGTGCCGCTGATTTGAAGGTATTCATTGTCCCCAAATGTAAAATAGTTATGGGTAAGGACAAAGTCACAAAGTTCAGCCACCAGGTTAGCCGTGACTTTATCGGGGATAGTGTTCTTGACGGCTTGTAGTCCATCTTTGTGTGGAATGTTGGTGTAGAGGGCTTCTACATCCATAGTGGCCAGGATGGTGTTATCAGGAAGATCACCGTTGGATTGTAGTTTCCTCAGGAAGTCAGTGGTGTCCCAAAGGTAGCTGGGAGTGCTGGTAGTGTAGGGCCTGAGGAGGGAGTCTACATAGCCAGACAATCCTCCTGTCAGGGTGCCAATGCCTGAGATGATGGGGCGTGCAGGATTTCCAGGTTTATGGATCTTGGGTAGCAGATAGAACCCCGAGCAGGGATATTCTAGTGGTGTGTCTGTGCAGATTTGATCTTGTGCTTTTTCAGGGAGTTTCTTGAGCAAATGCTGTAGTTTCTTTTGGTAACTCTCAGTGGGATCAGAGGGTAATGGCTTGTAGAAAGTGGTGTTGGAGAGCTGCCGAGCAGCCTCTTGTTCATATTCCGACCTTTCATGATGACAACAGCACCTCCTTTGTCACCCTTTTTGATTATGATGTCAGAGTTGTTTCTGAGGCTGTAGATGGCATTGCGTTCTGCACGGCTGAGGTTGTGGGGCAAGTGATGCTGCTTTTCCACAATTTCAGCCCATGCACGTCGGCGGAAGCACTCTATGTAGAAGTCCAGTTTGCTGTCTCGACCTTCAGGAGGAGTCCACCTAGAATCCTTCTTTTTGTAGTGTTGGTAGGGAGGTGTCCGTGGATTAGTATGTTGTTCAGAGGTGGGGAGAAGAGTATTGCCCAGGGCTGGTGTAAAGACAGATCCATTGAAGCTCATGAGGTGCTCGGACACTACAGTAGAGGGACTGTGGAAATATCTTTGAAAGCTAGGAGCCCAACTCTGTAGGCTCCTTTGGGAATCCCAGCCTTGGACTTCAAAGGCCACCTGTGACCATCCCTTTGCTCTGGATGAAATGATTGGACAATGCTCTAGTTTGCTGCAGTCAGGGCGATACAATCAGGTCCTGTCTAGGGTGCAAGCTCTTTTAACACGCTCTGGAGAACACCATATTGAAAGGCTTTTATAGGTGGGACATAGATTGGGCTGCTGCTCATGCTCTGGGTCTGCAGCAGCATAGCAATCATTGCAGAGTTCCAGCACCTTCCACCTCTAGGGGCACTGGAGTTGAATCCAGCCTGAGTCACTAATGACTGCAAATTCTTACTGTATCTGTTGACCCTTTGGTGGCTCTTGTGTGCAATGAGTTGGCAGGCCTCAGTCCAGGGCTCCACATCACCAAAACCCAGCAACACTGTTGGCCACCTTGGGGGCAATCCCAGCAGAGAGGCAAAAGACTGGATGGGCCATGGAGACCAAACTCCCACCTTGTAACCTTGTGATGGTTTCCTCCTACTCAAGGCTGAGGCTCATTGGTGGGGCTCACAGCTGTCCCGTGCTGTGTCTGGTCAATGTTGTTCCACAACGGCTGCCAGCCTAGAACCCTGCACCACCACAAAGTCCTAGCTGCAGAGATCAAGGGGTGAATTTCTCCCCACCCTCTGGCCTGGGGTGGATTTCCCAGCTCAGAGTGCTAATGGGGGCTCTCTCTCTTTTGCTCTCCATTTCCCAGCGTGGCCAAATGCTTAGGAGCCAAGACGGTGTCTGCCCGGGCACTGGAATGTGTCAGCGAATGCCAGGTCATCTCACAGCTGGTGGACGATGTGGAAGCAGTCCAAGCTGTGGAGCTGTTCCTGGGTAAGTCCTGCAGACGCTGGGTGCTGATGCTTCTCTGTGGCTGACTACAGTGAGCCAACAGCACCACCCAACGCCTATCAGAGGTGCTTCATGCTCCAACTTCTTTCTTTTTGATAAGGAAATTGTTGACCCTTGATTTCTACCAGTTCTCTGCGAAATAGGAACTAAGGTTTAGTTAGCATTTTTCTGTCAAACAGGGACTGGGGAAATCAGCTCTAGGGATCAGAGGTACTGACAGACCCATCTGTGTTACAGTTATAGCCGTGCCATGCAATTACAGCCCCGCTGTGTTCCAAATGTATCCTAATAATGTATATTTGGTTTCACCCGAGAAGAGGGGTCCAAACTACAGCCAATAAAGGACTGTGCCATAGGCCTGAAGAAATTAGGTGTAGAGACGGGCTTCCTCAACTGGCTTGGAGCACAATTTAATGGGAGGGAATTTGAACATTAGTGGACAGGTCAAGCGGGTCACGTATGCAGTATACCAGCTTAGGCTGAAAGCACAAGGGCTAGTCTCCAATTAGTGCCTAAAGTCATTCCTCCCTCTAGTGGCGTCCCCCTGTGAGGATAACAGCCTACTGCCAGTGCATAGCGGAGTTCCTCCTTTAGCTCATGTGATGGAAGTTTCTGCTTTTGAGCATGAAGGATCTTTCTTTCTTTCTCCTTCATGCCGGCATTGCCCAGATGATGAGCGGCTGCTGGTCCAGCCCGCCTGCGGAGCCCCTCTGGCCTTACTCTACTCGGGTCGGGTTCAACAGCTGCAGCGGGAAGGGCTCTTGAGCCCGGACCTGGACTCCATTGTCGTCATTGTGTGCGGAGGAAGCAGCATCCAAATGGCTGGGCTCCAGGCCCTGAAAACCCAGCTGGGCATGAAATGACTGCAGATGCCGACCCCAAGATGGCGTATGGGGCAGGGGTGCATGGGATCCTATGGAGACACTAATAATTCATATCACTGGGTTTTTGTTAGTGGCATCTAATGGAATTCAAACCAGTTTATAGAATAAATATCAAGCTACTCTTATGGCTTGGATCCTGCGCTTACCACTGACTGCGTTAATGCTGCTGGGCATGGCTGCCGTGTCCTGGGTCAGAATGAAGGAGGAGTCAGCTGAACAACGTTGGTTCTCTGAGCTGTGGCAGTCTGTGCCATTTGGGAAGGTACTTTAGGACACTCATTGGAGCTAGGCAAGTTAGGGATTGTGACGATCCATCACTGTGGTTTTAACCCATCTTTCTCAGTGTGAATCGTTCACGACTGACCCTGATTTCTGTTATTCACGGCGGTTTATTTGCTGAATAATTCTCAGACAATGGGGCAAAATGTTCATGTCAGCTCTTTGTTATTTGCAGTTGGTCACCAGTCATAATAGTTGTTTCTGCTTCCTGATTGGATGACTGAAACTTGTTTAGCTAGCAAATAAAGGAAAGTGAGTGACGGATTCCGCATAGCGCTCTTCACAGGCCAAATGCTCAGATGAATAAATATTTGTGCTAAAAATCTGTGAAACCCTTCTGGCTTCATGATCATTTTCATGAATACTCAACAGCACACTTGGGAGAAAGGAAGTCTTTGTTAAAGCTCTAACATCCCTTCCTGCTCAACTAAGGTGTCAGATCTGACAATACCCATCTCTGAGACCATCCAAGGAGTTCTCCAGCAAAACAGGCCTAGCTATTCCAGGTACTGTGTTGCCCATTCTGATGATTTTATTGTAAGTCTCATGATATTTGGTGCTTTTCTTTAGAGCTGTCAATTAATCACAGTTAACTCACACAATTAACTCAAAAAAATTAATCGTGATTAAAAAAATTAATCATACTGTTAAACAATAGAATAACAATTGAAATTTATTAAATATTTTGGACGCTTTTCTACATTTTCAAATATAGTGGTTTCAGTTACAACACAATACAAAGTGTACCGTGCTCACTTTATATTATTATTTTTATTACAAATATTTGCACTGTAAAAATGATAAAGAAATAGTGTTTTTCAATTCACCTTATACACGTACTATAATGCAATATCTTTATCATGAAAGTGCAACTTACAAATTTTGGAGTTTGCAACACTGCTTATATTTCTAAGCTAGAAAAAAATCCTTTAAAAACAAAAGCCTTTCAGGGCTGAGAAAGGAGCAAAAGGAGCAGGACTCAAACAAATTTAAACAGAATCCTTTGTGGTTCTCCTTAAAATCCACCAAAACTTTGGAATGTCCCCTGGACACGTCGTCTTCTTCCGCCAAACTCCCCTAAATGGCCTTCTCTCTTAAGCCTCACCCACTCTGTATCCTCCAAGGTACTCCTTGATCTCCTGTTCCTTGCCACTGTTCTCTCAACCCTCCGGATAGATGCACACGGCCTGATTTTTCAGAGGTGCTTGGTGTTTGCAGCTCCCACTGTCTTTAACTAGAGGAGTGGGAGCTCAGCATCTCTGAAAATCAGACCTGTAGGGTTTTCCCACTGCTACACTGGGTCCCCGCAGCCTGCTGGGCCCAGATCCCAAGGAATCTGCCTTATACACTCCCCTGAGGTCACAGCAGGTACTGGAGAGAAGAAACAAGCATCTGATGCAAGGAAATTATGATTTCAGTCCACAAGGGGGCAGCAGAGTCTCTCCGACCTGGAAGTTCCATACCTGCAGAGCACACAGCTGAGCTCCGCTCAGCAGTTCAAAGAGCAGAAATTTGCCCCGAGTATGAAAAAGTAAATGAAGAAATTAAGGGTAACTAGGGCGGGTGGCCAGTTCACATCCACTTTTTCTATTTGTCTTGGGAATAATTAAAAGAGAGACAAGGTGGGTGCGGCAATATCCTTTATTGAGCCAGCTTCTGTTTGAGCTTCTCTCTCTTCCCATCTTGTCTCCACATCCTGGGACCGACCTGGCTACAACACCACTGCAAACAATCGGGAATAATCAGACGTGCTTTTAACATATTTCCAAACTCAATCATCATAATAATGCTTTGCACCTTTGTTGCTTTTGCATGAACGTCGCAAACACTGATTAAGGCATCCAGCCATCTGCTAGGTGGGCAAGTCTCACTGTCCCTTCTTAAAGAGGAAATGGAGGCACAGCAGGGTTACAAGAAGTCTGTGTGGTAGAGTGAAGAATCAGACCCAAGAGTCCTGACTCCTGGGGTCTGTTTACACAGCAATGTGAGCCCGGGCTCGAGCCTAACCCCTGTTGAAGCCACACACCAATTGTGTTAATGTAGTACTCAGATCTAGGGTCCCAGAGCCCTGAAGGGATGGAGGATCTGGGCCTGTGTTAAAGTGGAACCTAGGGTCCAAGCCCTGTTGCTTTCCTGTATGCACGTGGTCTCAGCTTGACGGGTCGCACCAGTCCTCCGGATGTATCCCTGAGTTCCTTGGGGGCAATTTCCTTAGTTCTCTCTATGCCAACAATTTGGGGTGCAGTTTGTTGCACTCTATTGCAGATGGCAGCAGCTCCGATCAGCGTTAACGACCTACCTTCTGCTGAAAGCCAGACTGCAGGTAGGTTACCTGCCGCATTTGCAATGGAGACTGATCAGAGACTCTTTGCAAAGAGAGCTGCTTCCCGGTCACAAGAGCACTGCACATGGCCTGGGTGCCCCTGCCCAGGCAGTCCCATGGAGGGCAGGGCAGCGGGGAAGGGGAGTGGGGACCAAGCGGCTGCCCTGCTGGGAGGGGGAGCGGCTGAGCTCCCAACTCAGCATGGATGTGGGGGCTGATCCCCAACACCCCAGCCCCTGCCCATCCCTGGGACTGTGTGTGCAGGGGTGCTGGGGTAGCAAGCACTGTAAGGGCAATGAGTGGGAGTCAGCCCCCAAACCTCCCAGCAGCCTCCCACGGGATCAGCTGCTGCTGTGCAGAGCTTGCCCAGCAGGGATCAATGCTGGCCAGCGGGAGGTGGCTCATGGCTGCCAGGATGTTGGGGGTCATCCATCCCCTGGCTGTGCTGAGCTGGGGGCTCTGCTGCTGTCTCTCCCTGCAGGGCAGCCAGTTGGTCCTGGGCCCCCTATCCTCCTGGGGGCTGTGTGTGCTGAGGCAGCTTGCGCTGTCAGGCTGGTGAGTGCGTGCCAGCCCCAAACTCCCCCACGCCTCCCAGGGATCCCTTAGCCCTGTCTCTCAGGCTGTGGTAGGGGCAGGGAGAAGGGATCCTGGAGGGTGGGGCTGGAGCACACTGCACCCCAAGCCCTGGGGATGCACTTCACTCTGCGGCCAGCAGCAGCCAGCATGTGTTTTCCTTTGAAACCTGCCTTTTATGGCAAACTTCAAAACAAACTGACAAAAATAAATTAAAAAAACCCAACCAACCAAACCCCCTTCACTGACCAGCCTATGTTAAAACTCAGAATTGCACAGTTTAATTTTACTAGTTTCCCAGCCCTGGAGCCTGATGAGCTAATTATCCTCAGGCCAGGCTCACCCGGGCATTGTTCAGCCAGCGTGACTCCACCTAGGCTGCAGAGCCCAGTTCTCAGGTTAGCTGGGAGTTCAGTATAAAGCCTTCTCGTGACTGCGACAGCCATCAAAGGAGCTCATTATGTGGTGTACGGACTCATGGGCTCCTCAGGGGGCACCCGTGTCCCATCAATAGCGCCACTGCAGTTAGGAACCAGGGCGAGCAGTAGAGTTTTCACACAGTGCAACACGTTCCTAGGGCTAGAGAGTCAGCGCTTGGGGTGGGGGTGCCAGGCACTCGGGGGTAGGGTTACTTTGACTCGGGTCTGTGCACTGCAGTGTGGACGCCGGGGCCTTAGCTTTGAGCATGAATTAGCAAATCCTTAACCTAGGGTTACAATGCAGTGTAGACGCTCAAGCCCAGGGTTCCTTGACCCTGGTCAGCTGACCTGACTCCCACTAACTCTAGGCTTACACTGCTGTGTAGACATACCCCACATCTTCCCTAATGGCTAGCCCACCCTTTCAAAAATGTTGATATAGGTGTATCTACCTCTCTAGTATACAGACAGTTGCAAATGCTCGTTCCTGTGCTGGATCAAGCGAAGCCTGCTGTGATATTGACCTCCTGGTGACGTGCGTTGAGACCAGCGGATAAAAAGCACTATACAAGAGCTAGGTGCTAGTGTGACACTTATTTCATCTGCCCTTTCTCGAAGCAGCACTGAAGACATGAGCATGGCAGCCCTAGATCGACAGCGTGAACAAGACAGATTTGAGACTGGGCCGTGCTGGCACCGCCAAACAAGTCAACGTGATAGCATGGGTAAAATGACAGCAGCTGCCTGACCGCTTTCAACCCTAGCCCGTCCTCCCGGTGGGGCAATGTACCAGCGAGGGCACTGATGGCAGTGAGTCTCAGAGCCTGGGTCAACTGACTCAGGCTTGTGGGGCTCGCATAGCGGGGTAAAAATAGCAGTGTAGAGGTAATCTATAGGCAGATTGCGGGCCAAATCTGGGCCACCAGACGCTTTTGAATGGACCATATATTATTGTTATTATTTTTGTATTATTTTTGCTGGAGTCTAGCCCTTGGCTGTACCTTGACTAAGAAATTTGGACCTTGACAAAAAATAATTGCTTACCCCTGTGTGGATGTTCCTGCTGGGGCTCTGAGCCCCACCTCCCTCACCGGGTTTCAGAGCTCAGGCTCCAGCCAGAGCAGGAACGTCTACGCTGCTAGTCAGTTGACCCAGGCTCTGAGACTTGCTGCTGTGGGGTCTCTCTGTGCTTGATAGCCCTGCCTTACTGCACAGGAGATGGTGAGGCTAAATACACTAAAGCTAAGGAGACATTCAGAGATTATGGCAGTGTAGACAAGGACACAGAGGTTGTCCTTCCACAGCAGGGTTGAGGCATGTTGGGGAGGGGGACAAGCCTGCACAACTGTTTTCCCTGGACTCTCTTTGCTAGAGGCCCTCAGCCTTCAGGCCTGTCAATAGGGGTGGGGTTCAAATCCCAACTAGGCGTGGTACAGAGTTTAAATTCTATTGCTCCTTTGATTTAACCTCTTCTAGTTTCCTCATTTTGACCCTCTGATCTGCACCTGTTTGTTCATTCCCCCGCCCCCATACTCAGCTGAGTCTGTGGCCCCTGCCCCCGTAGCTTCAGTGGGCTTCACTCACCATTCCTAGTCACCAAGTTGGCTGGCACTTGCCACCAGCACGAGTGGCTTTGTGGCCTGGTCGGTCCACTAGGAGCCCACAGAGGCTGCTAAACAGCACTGGAGATTTGGCCTGCATCCCCGACGAAAGGGCCTGGTGCTCACAAACCATCCAGCTCCCCTTCCACAACTGGCTTTAAAGCCACCTCTGATTTCTGTGGAAATAGGCCAGCCTAGCAGAACCAACCTCCTGGTTAAGCAGTTCCTGGCACAATGGGCAAACCTGGCACGTGTCTGTCTGAGTGTCATGCAGTTAGCGGCTGATGCCAGGACGGCTTGTTGTTCCAAGGTATAAAAATAACTAATCCCTGCTCCCCTCTGCGAGTTCTCGTCTCCTGGATCTTTGCCTTTCCCGGATGAGTCACGCCGCAGCTCCTCTCACCTGTTTGCTAGGCCTTCATTCCCCCATTGTTTGCTGTGTGAAACCTTGGGCCCTGCAACAGCTGTTCTCAGCTGTCTTCTGTTTATGGAGCTCACGTACAGGAGCACGGGGAGCCCCATCTTTATTGCCTCTCCCATCCACCTGAGACAACAGATGCCGTTTTCACATGACAGAAAGAGCGGGGGAGCGGGGCATGGGGCTTCTGGAGGAGGTAGGTTGGTGGGAGACCAACTCTCCCATTCTCAGGCCGGGGGGGGGGCGGGGGTGTGAATCAGCAAAGCTCTGCAGAGGGTGGACTCTTTTGAAAACAAGGCTGGTGCAAGAGGCTTGTGTGGGATGCTGCTGGCTCACCCTTCCCAGCATCCTTTGCCTTCTCCTGAAGAACTTGGCCTATTGGTTTGTTCTAGCCATTGTCTCTTTCACATTTTAACTGGCATTTCTATTGGTAATTTTCATTGGCTGCCGGTAATTACCAAGGATCCAGTGCTGCATAACTGGTGAGTGGTGTGTGAGCCTGTTGCCTAGAAATAGGGGAGATGTTCAGATGCCCGCTAAACCTCTCCCTTAAAACTCATATAGAGATACATGAATAATTAGCAAGGCCAATTTTCCTCAGTAACTTTCCACAGCTCGACTTACTCCCTCTCCCCATTCACCTATCGGCCTTTAAGATCATGGAGGACGTCCATGTGTCCATGCTTCTCCTGGTAAGTGATTTGCCATAACGAAATATACGGGGCCACACGCTCAGCTGGTGTAAACTGGCATCACGCCACAGGCTTCAGTGAGTCTGTTGACGGGGCTCTGGCGTGTTGTTGGGTGAATTAATACGATGTTATGGTTACACATTTCATCCAGGTGTATCCCGCACACTTTATGGTTTTGATGCAACATATAACTTGTCAATTAGTGCATGGTCGAGGGGTTAGAGTAGGAGACTTGCGTTCCATTCCTGACTCGGCCACTGACCTGCTGTGTCATTTCCAAGCTCAGCCTTTCTCTATCTTGTCTATTTCGACTGTGAGTTCTTCGGGGCATGGACTGACTCACGATGTGTATGTACAGCTCCTAGCTCAGTGGGCACTGATCTCAGCTAGGGGCCTCTAAGCACTACCATCATATAAATACTATGTTTTACAGCCTGTCTATCTGTCTAGCTAATGTATATGCATGGAAATCATAGAATCATAGGACTGGAAGGGACCTTGAGAGGTCATCTAGTCCAGTCCCCTGCATTCATGGCAGGACTTAGTATTATCTAGACCATTCCCTTGTTCTATGCATAGCTCACCGAGCCACTCACTGAAAAGCAGTTACCTCTGGGGTGGATTGTATAAGCTGTTTTATAGCACAGTGCAATGGGTGTGGAACTGTTTAGGACAAGAACACAGCATTTCACATCTGTCAATGAGTGAAGCCTCCCGTTAGCTCGTTGAACAAAGTAAGTATCATTAGTCTCATTTTAGAGGTGGGGAAACTGAGGTACGGTAAGACGTTACTTTTGCCCATGATCACACCGCAAGTCAGTGGTGCAGCCAAGAGCGGGACTCAGCTCTCCTGGGAGTTAACCAAACTTCCCCCCCGCCCAGCTGCTGACTTCCCATGG